AGCTATCTTGTTTTCCAAGAGTTCTAGTGGGCGTTACCAGAAAAGCCCGCACGCCCAAATTTTGCGGGCTTTACGCACCGCTGTCATTTAACTCCATCACATCGTGAGTAAAACAGCAAAAGTCCCTCCCTCAGCAGCCCAGCGCCAGGCTCAAGAACACACCTTGTGTAGAAGCATCTGCAACTCTGCCCAAATGGAAGTGAGTAGCTCGTAGACCAAGATTAAGCTTTGGTCCCTTTCTTTCCTGTTTTTGAATTTTTCTGAAACAGCTCCTCGGGAGGTTCATCCAAGGCTTTACGCTTCCCCTTCTTTGCGCCACCCCCATACTTTGCTTCCAGATCATCAAAGAAATTCTGAGCCCTGTTTTGCTGACGCTGTTGAATCAAGGCTTTGAGCGCATCATTGTTGTCCCCGCCTGCCTTCGACGACTTTTTGCCAGAGTCTTTCTTGCCGAAGAGTTTTTCCGCGACTCCTAGCTCCTGGGCCAGTTCTCTTGCTTCTGCCTCTTCCTTCTTTGCATTTGCCTTCCTCCGATTCCGCCTTTTCCTATCTTCCTTGGTGTAACGACTGTAGGCTTCGACGTCGCCTTGGGCGATAGCCTCATCAATGATCTTTCTGAACCGGTCCTCGTCCGCCACAACATCGCTACACATGACTCTCTCAAAGACCGCATCCATATCGCCCTCGCCCTGCTCATATGCTGCCAACACGTCTTCTTTCTCTTCTTCGCTACCCTGATACTCCCTCTTGACCTGTTCAATCATATCGCTCGTCACCACGTTCTCTGTCTGTTCTCGGAAGAAATCTACCCAGTTAAAATCATCGTCGTCAATGTTTGCACTCTCAGCCGTGTTACCCGTGGCATCGTAGCGTTTGCGTCTTCGCTCGTCACTGAGGATGGCATAGGCAAATGCAATTTGCTGAAAGGCTTGGTGTGCGGCTTCGCGTTCTTCGGGAGGAGCCTTGTCTGGGTGATGTTTGAGGGCGAGTTTGCGATATGCGGATTTGATTTCGTCAGAGGTGGCAGTTTCAGAGAGGTGCAGGACAGCGTAGGGATCAATTTGGGGAGGATCGCCGACAGTGAGATCTTGACCTCCCTCTGAGGTGGTTTCGTGCCCGTCAGATTCAGGCTCCAGGGCAGGTTGTGGCTTCGATTTGGCTTTCCGAGGCATGGTGAGAGGAGGCAGGGTACCGAGCGTTGAGTGTGAGTGTTTCAAGGACCGTAGAATACTAGAATGATAAAGAGAAAATGTAGATTAGACGTGTGGTGAGACGAAGATCGTAGAGGCAAGACAGCAATGGATCTAAAGCAGCAGGGAAGAGAAGTTGGATTGAAGTTCAAGGGAATGTCAGGTGTAGAGAAGACCTGGTGGCGGGTCAAATCGCAGGACGCGCCGCACAGGCTTGAGCGTGTTTTTTCCCGATTGCTAACGATCGACGTCATTGCTAAACATTTCCCTCCCTGTCTCCTTTAATGGCAACTTGAGACTAAAATCACACTTAGTAAGTGCCAATGAGCCCTAATTATCACCAGCTAGGAAATGAGTAGAATTTCCCTGTACGGAATTTACAAGTCTCCTCAATATAGAAGCCTCACAGTTTAGTCTAACTTGACTCTTTTCTTTTCAGGCACCCGAACCAGCTTGCTTTGACAAAGCTTTCGATCCACCACCCCTGGGTGACCCCCTCTTTTACTTTCTTTTGCGTTTAGAAGGTTGACATGGCCCTAAGGGAAGACCATGCACGTTTGCAACCCAACGTCCTCCTAAAGACGCGCACGATTGGTCCTCTGCGTCTTCCTGGCGTAGGTCATTACCGTCTTCCTCGCGCAGGGCACATGCTTCGCCTACTTTCAATTGGGGATTAATCACCCAGATCTCGTATTCAGTCAAGCTTGTGTGATCTTGGCCGCATCCCCCCAGTGCTTCGGCCCTTTCAACTATCCACTGATCAATCACTTTGACGCGCTTGCAGGGTGCTGCGCATCTTGGCCTCAAACCGCTGACAGAGGCATGACCATTTCCACGACTGTAAAGCGGAACAGGCTTTCCAGCTTGTAAAGCCGCATGATTGAGAGAAGCGGGCGAAGGTCTTGCTTCAATCCATCCCCATCGCTTTAGCCAGCCAGGGTTTGATCTTCGATGGACTTACATGTGTTTATTGAGTGAAGTATTATCCTTATAAAAAGCCCTCCTACAACTCCAGTCTTCTCCCCGTCCATATGCTGCTGTGTCCTGATAAATTATACACACTTGTGTGAACACCGTAGATTTTACTGCCATACATTCTACTGGGGAAGAAATCAATTAGTGAGATAACTGAGCTTTACACCCAGGATGATCCAGTCGTATCTAGGTTCGTCAGGGTTCGAAGAGCGCCGTGTACGACATCATGGCATCGTCACGACGTTGAGACAGACAAAGCTTTCCAAGACTCCTCCTTCTGGAGAAGCCGCCGAGCGCAAACAACACTATGGCAATTCGGGAACGAGCAAAACGACAAAGGAGACAGCTCCCAGCTTCATGTTCATCCCCATGTCAGCTGAGCCTGGGGCAAGAGCACGAATTCGACCTGAGCTTCGAGCTTCGGCCAAAGCACATGTGATGCATGATTACCAGCGAAAGACGGCCCATCAGAGAAGCGCGCATTGGAAGATGTCGACGCCGACCACCTACAGTGTCACCCCGAAAGAACCATCGCCAGGAATGCCGGACACGGAGGTAACCGGTCAGCCCTTGGTGTTACGCGAGCGGATGACGATTCGGAAGAAAGACAAGCGGTCAAAGCAAAAGGTACAAACGGTATCAACCGAGTTCCCATCTTCTGATGAATCTGGTCAGTCGTCCCAAGAAGAGACCTCTTTCACGCTGTCCCACAGGGTTGCCTGTTCCCAGTTCATTCACTACGATCCGCCCTCGATTCCCCGGCAACCACGCGGCAGTAACCTCATGGACGTCTTCTCCTCTCTGCCAATTCATGTTCAACCGTGGGACGAAACGTTGATCACACGGTGGCTCAATTACGACCGGATCCCCTGGTGCCCCGTCAACGGTCAGTCTCAATGGGTGCCCTTTATCACCCATTCACCGATGCTCCTACACACAAACCTGTATTCCTGGGGCATGCACTGGCACGGCAAACTGACCGCCATCGACCAGGACGTCTTTCTGTATCAGAACCCCCGGATCCTGGAGCACAAGATTGCGGCCATCCAGATGATGAATGCGCACCTGGTCTCATCGACTGTGGTCACGGACGAGGCTCTCGCAGCAGTCTCCATGTTCATCAATGTGTCGATGCAGTTCCTGAACCGCGACGAGGCCGCAAGGCACATGGCTGGCCTTGAGGCCTTGGTGAAGCTCCGGGGCGGTCTCGACGGCCTCTCCAGGATGGGAACGGTAGGGGTCCTTTTACAACGAATCATAACGTGGAATGATCTTTTCTTCGTCGAACTCTTTGGAGGAAGTCTGCGCTTCTCGCTCCTGCCGCGTTGGGAGGCGGCGTGGAAGTCGGTCTATGCCCCTATCGCGGACGACCCGGTCACACACCTTGAACCCTTACAGGCACGCTTTGCAGGAAACCTCGCACGGGAGATCACGACGCTGCTGCGCGAGATCCAAATCGTGTGCAACGATGTACAGGCTCGACCTCTAGCGACCCTGACGACGCTGGAACGGACACTGCGACATGACAATCTCTTCCGCTTTGAGCGCCGGCTGTGTCTTGCGACCCGGATAACGACGATCCAGGAGCACATATACACAAACTTGCAGGCCGGCAGTGACGCCATGTGGAGGACCGTGGCTTACGCCGCGCTGATGTATGTCCACCACCACATCCGTGGACATGCCCTGCACTGGTCCCAGTTTCCTGCATTGGTCGTGCAGCTGCGCAACGAGCTGTCGTTTGTCCAGGACGATAATTGGGACGCGGTGCCGGCGCTGAAGGTGTGGGTCCTGGCGGTGGGTAGCTGGGTGAGTCAGGGGGAGCAATGGATCGTCTCTCTGCTCGCGGACGCCTGTCGAGCCCAGGGCTGTACCACTTGGAGTGGATTTGACGCGATGCTCAAGGAGTGCGTACACATGGGGAGGGAGGATGAGAAGAAGTTCAGAAAGGTCTGGGAGGATGTCATCAGATTACTTTGATTGGGAACGTGAAGTAAGCAGTTGCCAGAGTTCGACTGCAGAAAACGTGTGTCATTCACAGGATAAATTGCTTAAATAGTTAGTCAGCTGTCGTGAGTCGCCAGAAAACTACCCGCAAGTAGTCTTTAAGTTAATCGTCCAGCCCTCAGAGCCATTTCCCTCCTGCAGTAACCGAAGCCTCCTGAATAGAGTGTAGATTCTTTCCACCTCGATCCGTGTTCTGCGAGTAACCCTATGAAAGTGGCATTGTGTCCTGGTCCCACGTGAACATGCGCGAATGTTATAGAAAGGCGAGGCTGCGCGGCTGAGGATGTCTGTCACAGGTCTGGAGAAGCTTCTTTGCCTGCATCTGGTATCATTGGAAGCCTGCCAAACCATAGAATTGTTCGCCGGCTCGTGCAAAGACAGCTTCGCGAAGCAGGTCATTGCGCCAGCCCCCTTCGTTGTTCATTCAGTCACACAAGACTGAGGGTTCGGGTTCGTCATCTAGGGGTTCCTCCAGGACGATGATTTCACGACATCACTCCGAAATGCGTAGCGGTGTACTAAGCCGGGTTCGTTGCTCCCTCAGCTCGATGCCGTTTCTTGGGCCAGAGGCACGAGTAACCTGCTCCTGTCTAGAGCTGGAACTGGGCAGGATCGTCGCTCTGTAGAAGGACCTTTCGACAGGCCCGAGGTCTCTGAAGTAAACGTCCTTGGTATGATATTATGACCGAAGTTCCATACTCGGGAGTGTTCTGGTCATCAGTTCCCTCGTCCAATAAGATGGAGCCAGAAATAGCTCCTGCGGTAAAACCGTTTCGGGGCTATCCTCGCAGCCAATGACAGAAATTTCGACCACGTATGAGCCGTTTTCTAGCCAAGCAAGTTTCCCAGAAGCACAAACAAAGTAGCCATGAAGTGCGTAAACGTCGAGGCAGGGTTCAGTCTGGGAGCACTGTTGGGACCAACCAAGATCCCTGATACGGTGGAAAATGCACTGGCGGCACCGGAAGTCACAGTGGAGAATGCTCCACTGACCACTGAAGTAACAGTTGAGTAAACGCCCACCACTCCAGAGGTCACGGTCGAGCAAACCCCACCACCGCACGGGTTGCTATAGATGGTGGTTACGGTTGTGACACTGTTTGGCTGGGTAGTGACAGTGACGATGCTATTGGGTACTGTGGTGACGATGATGACACCTCCACCAGTAACAGTAGTCGAGGGTGGCGGGGTGGGAGTCGGTGTGATCGTAACAGTAGATGGATGAATTGTGGTTGTTTGAAGGGTCGGCGTCGAGGGGAAGAACGGAGAGGAGCCATCACAGACTTGACCAGCAGGGCAGCAACCTGGTTCACCATTCCGATTTTGCCAGTAACAGACATTGGGATAAGCACAGCAGATTTGCTCAAATGTACTGTCACCCGCACAATATGGATTTTGATCCGTGCCACAGGAATTCTGAGCAACTGCAGCGGGCAGGCCCAACAGAAACAGGAGTGCCACAGTGGCCGCCAACACATTGGGACCGGCCATCCTGGCTCTGTGAGGGTTTTGGAAGGGGAACGTCAGCCATGGCGAAAAATGGGAAGGCTGGGAATATTTGTAGCATTCTCGGAGGCGCGTGGAAGGTCAGGGTTGGCATGAATTGGAGCTAGAACAGTAGGTCAGCAGTTGGCCTCACGATGGGGACAGGACTTGAGCTCCTTCTTCCTCAGGCTCCGGAAATATCCAAGGCGTTTCTCGACATCAGCCTTGGGACCTTTGGACGCTTGTACTCCATCTACTGGGAGAAGTTGGCATCGACGACGAAGGGGGCCAATGACGGTGTCGAGGAGGGGTTGCTGCGTGCAAGCTAAGGAGTTGGAGATGCATGAAGCCGCAAGCATTATGACGGAAGGGTCACCAAAGGAGGATTGGCACCGATGTTATTGGAGGGGTGCGTGAGAGCTTATGCTAGGGCGCTTTGGGCGCTACCTCGGCTGGTGGCATGCATGACATGCGTGGACATGCTTCTGAAGGGAAGGGCACTTAGGCAGTGTGAGAGGTAGCTGGCCTTGCTGGGTAGTAACGTAGGGCTCGCTAGGCAGGCTTGAAGCTTAAGCAACTCTTATCGATAGGCCAAGGAGCCCCCAGACCCAAGTTGGCCCCTGGTGGCTGTGTGGCTGGCTCCCTCTATCACCATCTCCCCTCAAGCCTGTCCCAGCGCCCCACAAACTGAGTCCCCTCCCTGTTGGACATGCGACTTCTCAACACATCAAATGTCCGCATCGTCATCGTGGTCAACGATATACCCCTCTGACAGATTCTCAGATGCGCTCGGTCCTGCCATGTATACACACGGACCTGCTTACATTACGAGCTGGGACAGCGCTATCTCCTCGCTGATGCCCCATCTGCCTCAAGACCGCTCAACTTGACTCCTGGGCAGAGAGGCTGTGCTTGGTTGATCATTGGTCGCCCGCCATCTGTCCCGCCTGCGGCCAAGAGTGTCAATCCCACTGGCAAGCGCAGGCGATCCATTCGGACTGCCACAGAAACAACGAGCCAACCTGTTGTCCATTGCTCTTAGCATTCACTTCATGAGGCATACATACGACCTCTGTCATATCCCTGTTGTAAGTCAGTTGCATTGCTCTACTATCCCCTACTCCCGCAAAGAGTCCTTTTCACCGCCGTAACTCCATGGATCGACCGCCTTCGAGGTCACGAGCTCCCATGAGCCTGGAGGCATTGCTTGATGAAGAAAACAGAGAAGTTTTAGCTGCCCTGGATCGAAAAAGACCCTCTAGTCCCATTCCCAGATTCAAACCTCCGAGAACCGCCACTCCGCCGCCAATCCGCAGCATGCTCGACGTCGATTCTCCGACTCCTCGACACGGCTCCATCGCGGGCATTGGCGTGGGAGTCACGAGCCCCCATTCATCAAGAAGGCCGATGAAAGAACTCGACCCCTCAGATCCCAGTAGCTGGACCTCTCCTCATTCCAGCAAACCGAGCTCTCCCGTCCTCACGAAGGCCTCTCCGGTGACCACGCGACAACGTAACTCCTCAGAGACGGAGCGGCCAGTGGGACTTCCCAAGATAGAAACGGATGAGAAGCGAGGGTTTGAGGAAAAATATCAGTTTGACATCTCCGCAATACCTTCATCTTCGTCTGCATCTCGATCCCCTCCAGGTTCGAAGAGGCAACGTGAGGGATCTGGCGCCGCCATGGCCGCTGCTTTGTCAGGAGATCTCGGTGCCCTACATGTAGGCGCATCAGGAGGGACGCATGGGAAACATAATTCTACTGCGGCTGCTGGTGTCAGTTCAAGATCGCCATCCTCACGTATTCGAAAGCCTGATCCCTCAAAGGCAGGATTCCTCAGCCCCACAAGCCCAGCGGGTCCCTTGACGACGAACTCAGGAACTGTTGTGGACGATCAGGCACACCTACGATTGTCGTCGGGTAGTTTCTCGACCACGACTGAAGACTCAGAGGAGGGAATTGATAATCTGGCCAAGGAACGTGTTGCGGCCGAGGAGGAAGCCCTGGATGACAGTGATGAGGATGCTATATCTCACAGTAGTGACGAAGACGAGACTAGGGGTCGGTCGGAAAGACGAAAACTGTCAACCACCGCCGAGATAGTCGATGCAAAGCCTTCTGATACGAATGGTGCTTCGTCACCTGAGGATGCTAAGAGAACCTCACATTCTCAACAATTCGTCAGGTCGTTACTTGAACCCTCCATTTCCATCACCAGTCCCACTGGGGAAAATGTGACCGACCAGAAAGGCGGCACGAGTACACCTCTCAGACGGTCGTCTGTGACATCCGCAGAGGATGATGACGAAGAAGCCGCTATCAGGAAAGCCAAAACTCTGGCGCTGAATATATCACCACTCGACTCGACAGTGGCTGACCGACACGTGCGGATCATTCTGCGAGGCAACTGGGCCCATTTCTACCAAGAGGCGGAAGTTGGAAAAAGAACGGCAAGAATCTACCTCCTTTGCAGTGATCTAAGTGTCGAAGCAAGTTATGCCATGGAATGGGTTGTGGGCACAATGATGAGGGATGGAGACACTCTCCTTGCCATCTACGCGATAGAGGACGAAAGCGCCGGAAAGACCAGCGAAGCTGAAAGAGAAGTACTGACAGCCGAAGGGACCAAGGCTGGCAAGGACGCTTCCGACGTTATGCAGACCTTGACGCGCCAGACAACCCAGGGAGGTGGCACAAGTTTCGGACTGGGGAAGGAGTCACAGTATATCCCAGCGACCGAAGTCGAGAGCCTGACTGGTAGTGTCGACGCAAGAAAAGTCTCTAAGAAAGAAATGGAGCGTCTGAAGGCTATTGAGGGCCTGACACAGGACTTTGTCAAGCTGGTCCGCAAGACGACACTGCAAGTGAGGTGTATGGTGGAAGTCATCCATTGCAAAAGTCCAAAACATTTGATTCTTGGAGCGGTATGTTTCCCTGATTGTGTACATGATCATGTCTGACTCTCTTCCAGATTGACCAACTCGACCCTACTCTATGCGTTGTGGGCACACGTGGCCGCAGTTCTCTTAAGGGCGTCCTCCTCGGATCCTTCTCCAACTATCTCGTCACCAAGTCCTCGGTGCCCGTCATGGTTGCGCGGAAGAAAATGAAGAAGAGCCACTCAAATGTTCGCATCAGTAGCGCTAAAATACGTTTATCCAACAATTTAACGGCCAGCCATCTGCCTCCGAAACGAAGGGGCTTGCAACAGGCGAGAATTGACTAGCGGTCAAAGACGGGTTCACGACAGAAATACCTGGTGAAAAAGGCGGCGGAATCACAAATTAAACAGAAGCAAAAGCAAAAGAGTCGCAAAATGCATTGGAAGGAGCAAGAAGCCAAGCTGGAGCGGCTTCAGGGAAGAATTGATTAGCAATCAGAAAAGGAGAACCAGAAAAGGTATTGGGAGGTGAAACAGGCCAACTGGGAAAAGGAGAGACAGAATGACGGTATCCAAAATGGGAAGAGGACGGCATCGTTCGAAGATCCTGAAGGCACGAGCGAGGGAACAAGGACCCCGACGCTTTTGGAGGGCACGAATTTCAACCAGCCATTACTCTCCAAATCATCTGTCGAAAAGGATCAAGGCGAGGCGAGCACTGCGAACTCTTTTCGCCGGAACCTGTCCTTCGTACACCTTTTCAGCCCGATGTTTCTGTCGCGACCTGAGAACTAATGGGCAGCAGAATGGATGGAGCTGTCAGGAGAAGGGGTCCAACGAGTATTCCCGCGAGCGGAATGGATCTGCCAACCAGGCATGTGGTCACCAGAGATGCCAAGGGGATATGCCAGACATGCAGCGTGCAAGGTGCAGTGACAGTGGAGCACGAGCATCAACATGAAAGAGGATCAACGGAACCTCAACCGACAGCCGAAAATTGGAAATGACGATTGTGAATGAATGATATGATTGTTATTGGGTGTTATTGGGCGAGATGAATCGGTGTTCAAACGCTGAATCAACACAGGACCGGCCAAAAGAGTATGAAATAAAGGGCAGCCAGATGTTCAATAGCAATCCAATTCCCACGTGTCTATACGTCGGAGTAAAAGGTTTCCATTTCTGACTTTTGCACATCCTTCATTATGTTGTAGAGTGTATTTCTTCGTCCTGCGGACCATGTGTGGAGTCAAGAGACCAGGGGAACTCAGTTGTCTGGGTTGGGTGGCCTCTCTGCTGTGCTGGTATCGTATCGAGTCGTTGTGGGCTAGGGCCAGGGCCAGGGTGCCGAGACCGATATCGAGACTAAAGCGGCAGTTGTATCTGTACCCGAGGACAGGGACGACGACGGTGGGAATGTCCAAACCACATTCCCACATTCTGACAAGTTTGTGGTTGTGGTTGTGGTCACCGAAAGTCCCCATAGCCCCAAAGGACAAGTCAGTGGTGTGGTGTCAGTGATGATGTGCCGGTAGTGTGTGTAGTGTCACCGCGAGACATCGACCTCCATCATCCTCTTCTTTGGATTTCGCGGGAGAGCCTCCTGCCGCCTCCTCTCCTCGGGCGAGATGTCGTCGACGTTGGTGCCCCCCTGCACGACCTGGTTGGAATGTCCCTCCTTGGCCACGCGGAGAATCTCCTCCTCCAGCCCCGGCACGTACTCCCAGGGCACGCCGGCCGCGTCCAAGATCTTCAGGCTGGCCGAGTCCTGCACGAACGTGCCGGGTTCGCGGGCGCCGAAGATGACTTTGCGGATTCCTCCGCCTGATGTGCTGTCGCCGGTCGATCCCGGAGGCGGTGGTGTCCTCGTCCTCGTCGCAATAATCCGCTGCACGCAGGGTATGTTCCCGCTGAGGCGTTTCCCGCACGGTTCCAGCGTCGTGTACAGGTAGACATTCTTCTCTGGCGTGAGGACCTCGCGGCCGAGTTCTGCGAGGTATTCCAACGACGAAGGTGTCTCCGAAGGTGTCTCCAAAGAGAGAGAAATTCCATGCTCGCGCGCGAGTTTCGCCAGCGCATTCTGCTCCGCGTGCGTATTCCCCTCGAGTTCCAAGGTATATCCCGTAGCGAGGACCTGGCCTTTTTCTCTTTCTTTTTCTTCATCTTCACCAGCGCCCCCTCTTTTTCTGTCAAACGCCACAATCACGCATCCAACGCGGAAATTCGTCGGTTTCGGCGGCGACCGGCGCGCCAGGGAGAGTGCATGGCGCAGGTAATGTAGGTGTGTAGACAGCGAGGGTTCAGCAGGGTTGCTGGTATTGATGTTGGTAGACATCTTATCTTCCCCCCCCTCTCTCTCTCTGCACAACGACGTAGAACTGGAATGTATGGTCGTATTGTGCACGCTAATGCTCTAGAGTAGTCAGTCGCTGTATGTTGTGATCGCAATGTGACATGAACTCATACCTAGCAGAGAAATCAGGTGTTGTTGGGAATGCGGGGAGTGGTCGAATGTGAGACTGACATATGCACCCCACATTGACAAGGCTGATACTGAGATACATAAGGCTGAGAAGGGAAGACACTTTGATGTCCAGATATCAATTCAACACATCGCCTGATCTGCTCTGACCTTACAGGTATAGCTGGTCTCAAGTAACCATTTTCTCCATCACCTCGCTCATATTTACACGCAGAAAGAAACAGTGGTATCATCCTTTTTGAACCCAAACGCCCCCTTGGCTCCTCACCATCGTCCCTGTCGCTTTCCAGCCTTGTGTTTTGGTTCTTCCCTGGGTCCTTGTGCAGCCGGACCATTCTCTCTCCATTTCAAGTTGAGAAAGAAAAACAAAACCTCCATGCCAATTCCCAGATTAACATACTGAAAGTACTCTCGCAGCAAGAAAATTCCCGTCCAACTCCCTGCCTTTAACCGATTTGGTTGATCAAGACAGCTCAGCTCTTTCCGTCGTAAATTTGTCAAAATACTCAACAAAACCGAAAAAAAAAGGCTAGATTCATGCCTCCGACGCCAGCGTATCCTTGCTGGTTGTGGCTGTTGTTGGAGATTGAGTCAAGCTTGATGCCCCCATCAAAATGGCCAATTGGTCAATCTCGCTCTCGGTGGCAGCTTTACCCTTTTCGCTGCTACTTGCCGCTTTGGGGTCTTGCTGTTGCCCCGTTCTGTTCTTCCTCTCCTGGACATTTTTCAACAACCCAGAAAGTTCCAACTCCAAGTCGTTCAGATCCACCACTTCTTTACTGATGGTCAGCTTCTTCTTATATATTTTTAGCATTCGCGTCGCCTGGTCGGTTGCCATGGCCAAACTTCCAAACTCGGATGCTTGGCTCATACTCTGTCGACGTCCTTGTGCTGCAGCTTGAGCCCGCAGGTCAGATGGAATCGACGGCGGTCTTCGCAATCGACCGTTATTGGCCTTTTGCCGTTGTTTAGGCGTGGACGGCATCGAGGCAGCTGTTGCCGGTGGCGACGGTGAGCGCTCTGCCAATGGCGTCCTCCTCGACTCGAGGTCCTTATTGATGTCTGCTCGAGACTTTTGACTCCTCAACCTTGGTGCCACTCGTGGCGGTGGAGAGGGTGAACGTCGAATCTCTGCTTTATCACCACTTTGTGAATCATTGTGCTCACCAGGGTGCCCAGATCTCCTCGTTGGCGTTTCTTCAAGGTCTTCCAGGGACGTCGCAAGAGCAAGTCTCGATGTCTTGCGTTGTAATCTCACTGGCGAGAGAGATCGAGGAGTCGAGGGTGACGCTTGCCCATTCGCCCCTAGAAGTTCTGTTATGTCACTCTTCGTCAAAACCCTTCTCAGTGGCGGGAGTGACGAAGGCGTGGGTTTGGCCACTTCAGTCTCGTCAGCCGCCAACCCCAAGCCTATAGCTTGGCCCTGAAGGAGGGTCGGTGTCAGTAACAAGGGTGTTATCTTTGAGATGCTCCAGATCATGATAGTGCCGTCCAACCCAGTAGTTATGACCGTACATCGAGAACCAGGACTCGAGTTGTCGGGTTGTTCGAGGAGAGCGATATCACTCACTCCCTCTGTGTGTCCAGATTCCCGGGCCAGCAGGCTGAAATTCCTTTCACTGTAGACTCGGATAGATTTGTCCATAGAGCAGTATCCGATCAGCATCTTTTGATCCGCACTGTCCGGGATCGAGGAGCTGACCATGGCATTCAAAAACACCGTGTCATCGCTGTCTGCATCTCCGACCTTGAAGGACTCGAGCAAGGTGCCAGTAGAGATATCGACAGTTGTGACACGACGGTCCATGGTCGATACGAACAAGGTGTTGTGCGCTGCCATCGCCATCGACAACGGGGTGCCTTTAAGTGTCAACACCTTGGTGGAGAGATAGGCCACGGCTTTCGCTCCCTCCGGCTGTCGGAGCATCCGCTCGCGAATGATCAGAGACCGGTCTGTGGAACAAGACAGTAATTTCTGCCCATCCTGGATGAACATGACTTGATTGACGGATCCAACGTGGTCATCCATCGTCTGTAGAAGCTCAAAGGAATCGGCGTTGACGTGAAATAATTGTATCATCCGATCTCTGCTGCATGTCGCAACAAGCGATGCAGTCTCGAGAATGTCGATCGAGGTGATCTCTGCGCTGTGCGCCCTGATGGTATGTGCAATTTGCCAATCGCGGCTCTTGATCAGTTTCAACAAGCCAAAACGATCGCCAGCAATGAAAATATCATGAGGGGAGAGAAAACGCATCTGGGTCAGCTCATTCTCGAACTCGTCGTCTCGTGACTCGGCCACGTCAGGCTGCAGATTCTCTTGCTTCAAGAGTGTGCCATTGGAACTCCAGAATTTGATTTCTCCATTCTTTGAGTAGGTGAAGAAATTGCCTTGAGCAGCAGAGTCTGGAAGTGTCTGAACTCCTAGAATGACACTTTTATGAGCTGCAAATGTGGGTTGAGGTTTATCCCCATTCTCGGAACCACGACGTTGGATTTGCAGACAACCATCGTTGTTGAGAGTAATCGTGTGGTCAGTGAGGGATCCTATCGCCACCAAACTTCTTTCCGCTTGGTCAAGCAAGCCGAGCGAGCGGCGTATGGATGACAAGCGAGGTTTCCGCGACGAGAGCTTGGAAGGTGATTTATTCTCCTCTTTCCGTAGAAGGTCAAAATTCTCGCTGTGGACGCCATGAGGTGTCCCCACCAACAGTCTCCTATCTTCCGGGACAAAGGCGAGGGAAGTGATGCAGAAGTCCAATTTCCGCAAAACTTTGAGCTCCAGCACGTTCTGAGAGATGTCGACCAAACAAATCTGTCCAGTTTCTGTGCCAATCACGACGTTGATTTCATCGATCGATACGACACATGTAAATGTGCTGTCCACCATTGGCCCCAGCAGAACATTGCGGCTTTGCAATGGTACTGGTCCGGGGCTTGACGGAGGTGCTTCGGACGCGCGGTACCGCAATCTCCTGGTAGACGACTGTTTTCGCGCGCCTTGTATCTGCCAGAGTCGAACACACCTCGTTCCGACGGTTATGACATGGTTGCCACACCAGGTCATATCAAAAATGTTGGCAGTGCACTTGTTCGCCGAATGCAAACTCAGCTGGCCGGTTTTGGCATTACAGGACCAGACAAACAAGAATCCATCCTTGTAGTCGCCCAGGGTGGCCAAATGCTTCGTGTCAGAGCTAAAAGCTATGCACCTCAGGCCGTACGTATGATCCGTGATGATGGAAGTGGGTACCTCACAGGACGCTTCGTCAGCTGTTGAAAACAGCAGAACCCGAGGGTTGTATCCAGCCTCCCCTACTGCAAGCCAGTGGCCATCACGGCTCAGAGCCACACAGGCTGCGGTTTTGATGCGCTCCCTTGCTGTCCAAGTCTGCCCTGATGACTCGTCTACCCACTCGCGGGCGGCGGAGCCACCGGTATAATCCTCCAGTCCTTTTCGAGGAGTAAATGTGCTGATCCTCCTCCTGGACGGCGTGGTAGCCGGCGAGCTTTCATAATGAGAAGTCGGAGGGTTCAGTGAGCCCGCAGTCGGTCGAGCTTTGAAATATCGGAGTGCAGGTGTATGGTCCAAACCAAGCCTCGCCAACACGGCTACTGCGCCCGCACAATAGGCGTACGAGCTGGTCTTGGGACAGCATGCCAGCCCACTGGGACCATTCGTGGTTGTCCCAATCACCCTCTGCAGTTGTAACGCATAGTCTGTAGAGCGGGCTTTGCGAGGTAGTCCGAAACCGGCTTTAGGGATGGGTGAAGGGAGCGGGCTCGAGCGGAGGGAGGGGGACTGGTTGTTCAGCCTGCTTCGAAGACTATATGGCTGTGAGGACATGATTCACATTGCGGGTCATATGTCGCTTCAGGACGAGAGGGAAAGCATCGGGTGCCGACAGTGAATAGGCAAAGTAAAGACGACAAATGCCCAGCCGCAATCGTCATTTAATCGCGAAATTATCGGCGGTGTGGTCTCGCAGGGGTCGAGTCATCCAGGGCCGTCAATACCACTCCTCCCACTAAAATAATGTTCACTCGTCCATGGAGGTGGCCTGCAACCGAAATGAGCGAAACAACTCGGTGAAACGAGTTGGAAATGGTTGTTGTGAAGATCATTCATTGATGGTGGTGGTTGAACGCACTTTCGCAATCTCGTGTTTACATTCCTTCCCGATACGGGAAAGGCAGACGACGCCACTTTCCTCAGCCTCATAAGTCTTGGCTGTGGCGCTGCTTTCCACAGTATAAAGCTCAAGCCGGGACATCTACATAGAGTCAAAATAATGGGCAGTTGGCAGTGTCGATCAATTGTGAAACCATTACATGTGTACGTTGTCATCAGTAAATATACAAGTCCGTAGAATCAAAGTCGCCAACATCCTCCCCTCCAGTCCCGCCCCGTCGCAAGCACAATTGACGTTCAAGAGTTCTCAAAAAAGTCGCTACCACAGTCGTAGACAGCTCTCAAGAGATCCACAACATTCTCAGGAAAGTCAAGGATGCTATCAAGCGTGAAGCTGAAGGACCCTGATATGGACCAGGCTGCCTGTGATCCACAAATCGTAGGCTCAGACCTCGTCACATCTGTGAGCCAATACACAAAGTCGTCGGCCTTGAACAGGAAAATCGGGGTCAGGAGGAGAATGGTCTCCGGTTCGTGGCGCAGAATCCATCTGAACAGGACGGTGAATTGGTACCAGTTCAATTCCTGTTGGGTGGCAGGTGCTGAAGCGAGTATGTCGGCCTTTTGGGCTTTGGACCATTCGGTAGCGGTGGCTTCTGCCAATCCCCAGGCATAATCGTGGTCCTGCATTGAGAGTTAGAGAAAAGTCTGCACTGTGAGGAATAGAGAGATGGTTGGGGCACGAGAGAGACACAGCAATAGACGTACCTGTCTTGTTGTGTACGTCCCGTCTCGCATGCCGATGAAAAAGTCCCTCCACAGTGTGGTACCAGGGTTTCCACCAGTGTCCGTGCTGAGACCGAGGGCCATGGCACCGCCGCGTTGGATGGCCTCGACGATGCCCGTATCTACGTAACTGATCCAACTGTTCGGGGCGCCGAGGTTCTTGCCGATAAAGAAGGTGATGACTCCCTCAATGGCGCGGAATTGGTTGGCAGAGTTCAAGGGACCAAACCATTGACTTTCCATGTATTGCACGAATGCTAAGCGTTCCTGCATGGTGGAGGACTGGATCTGGTCGAATGTGCAACTGAGCGTCTGCTGGCAAGCTGGCCATCCAGCCTGGCGCGTTTCGAGAGACGGTATCGCTGAGCCCATGGCTGTCGCGAGCAGAGGCGCTACCGCCACAAGTGCTTTTGAGAGACGCATGTCTAGTTGCCTGTACTTGTGCAAATGGAAGAAGAAGCAAGATGTGACAGGCTACTCAAAGAAAGATGGTGCCTGTAGGTACTTTCCAACACAGGCTGGAACCATGGTAGGTTTTAACCTGCACAACCTCCATTTTGTGTAACTGATCTATTTTGCACCTCGACCAGCAGAGGCATCTTTTCTGGATGCTGGCGGTGTAAGCGAGAAGAGAGCAAGACAGAGGAAATTGCGATAACAGGGATTTTAGCGAACAAGGCTCCAACTTCGTCTAAGGACCGATCTATCTCAAGTTGTCGACTCCACGGAGGGGTTGGCGCGACAGCTAGCCCGGCTACTTGTAAGTTTGGTTTCTGTACTCGGTAGTGGCAGCTATGGACAGTGAGCTCGTTGGTCACAGAGAGTGTCTTGGAAAAATGCAGGCTGAAAATTTGACTGACGAGCATGAAGTCGATTTGACGGGCACTTTAACATCTCGATCTCGTATTCTCACGAAGGTTACACAAAAGAATGACGACTTCGCACGGTTCGGGCCCTCGGAACGGCACGACGAGGGGTGGTTGATAGGCGAGAACAGCTGCCCTGTGCGGAAGACGTGCGGAAGACGAGCCCAAGAAATGTGGCTGAAACACCCCAGGCTGGGACTACACAAAGCTCAGGGGGGTAGAACTCAATATCTTAGGGCGCCTGGGTACTCTTTTGTCTCTAGAACAGGGAAGTCAATTTACAAGTAATCAATCATTTCAGGCCTTTGCTCGTCGCAATAACAATAGCGCTGGATATCGCAGAGTGAGACATGCACTATCTCAAAGGCCGGAGAACGCCTCAAGCAACGAACCTCCCTGCCTTTACCTCGTTCTCTATAACGTGTACGTAAACTCAACAAATACTCGGCGCTTTTCATCCGTGCCTCATTTCACGGACAAAGACACTATTGCAGAAGTGGCGGGGTCTACCGAGGACCTGTTACTCGATTTTCCTAAGCTCTTTCGGGGTGATTGAGCCACGGTTCCCCGGATATTGGGCCAATTCCAGTAAGAGAGTAGGTAAGACGCATGCACAGGGCATTGCACGCACGACTTTGAGGATCCCACCCGTGATGCTCACCTTTCAAGAGCGGTGACTTATTGAGGAATTGAGGACCATCATCGCCGTTGGATCTGGTCGGGGTTCCAGGGATTGTCGAGTCTGGATGAATGATGATACAATTGATGCAGTGTGCGGCCTTGAGAGTCATGTATGTGACATGAGACGCAGCACGGTCTTCTCAGTTGCACATTGACCACAGTAGTGACTCTCAATCACTCAAAGATGCCAGGTAAACCATGTTGGGCCATTGAGGTAGTGAGCCAGCACCAGCACCAGCACCAGCTGAGATGTCAAGGCTGCACAAGGCTGATTGATGACCACCACCAAGGAGCCAAAGGAGCGGAATTGTAAGGGTAAGAATAACGAACCGAATTCGACTGCCGTTCTACTTGCCCCGGCGAGTTCCGACGATCAAGTAAGCGCTCAGGCACTGTATTGTCACTCTTATTATTGTAGGGTTCTCACTCCCGATCTTCCCGACGTGAGATGATTTGTTGATGGCTGTCAAAGTAGTTGATTGCGGGGGAGAAAATACTTGTTAGTTGTTGCGTGACTTGGGCAATAATAATCAAGGGCCGCTGGTCAGTCAGTCAGTCCGTCACGGCCATACCACAAGGGAAAAAGAAGGAAAATGTTGTGATTGGTGGAGTCGGTGGTGGTGGCACCAAATAGTGGCATGACAATGACATATGCCGATCCTCCTCACTCCGCAAAAACACCCAAGCACCCAAGCAACAAACAAGCACAAGCACAAGCACCTGATGGCAATCACTCCACTTATCGACTGATTATTTACAAGCACGCAAAGGTACATACTACTTGAGTACTCCGTAGGAGAATTCTTAGGTGGGTAGTAACATTATTGCACAGTGGTACACACGTCTTGCGGCATTTTCCACGTACCTTGCGCTTACTTTCTTGTCCCCCATACTTGTAACCTGCGGTACTTGGTAGAAGGATTTGGGGGGTGTGGTATGATCATGACACCAGTGTGGTGTGCTTGCTTGCTTGGTGTCCTTCCCTACCCTCCACAGCCCTTTGCACTCTGGCCTGGGACACGTATGGGCTGAAAAGAGGAGATGAAGGGACAAGAGTATATAAGGGGATGGGTTGGGGGTGGCTCTCCAGTACCTTTTTTACAGATTCACATCGACATCAACAACCCATTGCATTCCATTGTAAATATATCCCTATTACTTTGGGCAAGACTTCCGGAAAAGACAACCAAAGCGGCTCCGCCTACGAAACGAAATCGATAGAATTCACTTCGAGATAAAATATCATCGACGACCCAAAGCAAAGCGTCTCGTCTCGACTATATCAGATCCATTACCATCTCCAATCCCACTCCCAAAACCAACATCTAAACAAAACATATCAAAATGACGACCCCTCTCGTCTGGAGACCATCGCCAGTGTCCATGGCACGACACAACATGCAGTTCGCCGGCTTCTTCACCGCCTTCATGATCCCCTTGGGCCTGTTCATGTGGGGTGTCCGCGACCCAGCCAGCGTCGCCGAAGCCAGGAAGAGAGCCGCCCGGTTTCGATCGATAAAAGCATAAAGAATGAAGGATGGAGCCAGGGAGAAAGAACACCATGAACTCCTGAATCATCATCATCATCAACACCAGAAAATAGACAATGGGTGTCGATGGAGGAAGTGGCAGGCGGCACCTTTTGGTCCGTCTTGTCCTATACCTGCGCTATGTGCCAGTAGGCGTTTTTAGGTCTCGAGGTCGAGATCAAGGTCAAGGTTTAGCAATTGGAGTCGGTGGCCTCTCGGCATGTATATATTATATATATATTAAATAGGGTATAATATATATACCCCGAACTGTGCTTCATTCGTCCCATTCCATTTTTGTTCAGGTATAATCGCATGCTGGGCTCGCCGCCGCTGTTGACGTTATGGAACTCTCGTCCGCCTGCCATGCTCTCTCCCTTCCAATCCTTTTTCATTCTCACCGTATTGCTTTCTAAGCCACCCGCTCGCGACTCGCCCTCTTTTCACTTCGGTCTACCTTTCGGTTCAAGGCGGCTTCTCCTTCGTCCGACATTGGCAGCGTCAAGCCCAACCATCACCAGTTCTGGATCTTCAGAGGTCTTCCTCGCCCTTGTGGAATGTGCCTCTTTCTCACGACGGCTTGACTCTGTCGAGGGTTCTTTATGATCGATTCTGGGCTCAGTGGCCCATATCAAGATACGTGATCGGCCCCCAGACCTACTTGCGCATGCACGGAGGCACTAGTTCAAAAGAGGTTCCGACAGCGTCGGAGGACCTCTCCGCGGAGGTCTTCGCCCGAGAGGAATGTCCTAATTATCCTTTTCCAATGCTGTTGCCTTCTTCAAAAAATAAAAATAAAAAAATAACGGATACCGCTTCATTGAAAAGAGACGGGTTGATCTAGAAGTGGAATACATTGCCGACGTCCAGTGGAACACCAAAGCATTTCAGAATCTCGTGGCGGAGGAGGACACCAAGGATCTACTCGAAGCCCTGATCAAGAATCAGCTGAAGATTGAGACGTCGACCGATTTGATCGCCGGTAAAGGGAACGGCTTGATCGTCTTGTTACATGGGGGACCAGGCACGGGCGAAACTTACACGCCCGAGAGTGTCGCCGACTATGCACAGAAGCCTCTGTATCGCGTGACATGCAGGGACATTGGAACCGAGCCCGTCGAAGTCGAGAAATACCTGGAGACCGTGCTTCGCCTCGGCCGTCCCTGGAGTTGCGTCGTCCAGGAGGACGACGCGGATATTTTCCTGGAAGAACGGACACTCGCAGACCTGAGACTGAATGCCTTCGTGTCCGTCTTCTTGCGCGTCCTCGAGTACTACAACGGGTCATCAAGTATGTAGGTAGGTAGACGTGGATTTATCGAGCACAAGCACAGAGGCAGAGGCAGAGGCGACCCGGATCAGGGCTCCGCCAAACCTCCACCGTCACGAACAAGGCTCTCAACCCCTTATTGCGAATCTCTGTGCGCTTTTTTCCGAGGGGCTGGCTTTCACAGACCACAGATCGAAACGTACGTACATACTTGGAAATGTTCGGCTCACTGCGGAACCTCGTCCTTGTCGCATCTCTTTGGCTGGACATGATTACATACCTCCAGACTCCAGACTCCAGACTCTAGTAACAAGTAGTAACAAGTAGGTGGGTAGGTATCCATCCCCTCTGGAGCCTGAACTCTGGACTCTGGACTAGTAGTAGTACCTGTAATCGGTACCTGTACTCGTAGTCATAGCGTGCCTGGTGACCGGTGCACGGTTTTGTCTCCAAATATAAACCGACCACTGCACGCAACCGTCATGCTATAATGCAATGTGGATGGTTTTTCTTGGACTGGCGTGGCTGGCGTGACTCGGGCTGGGCGCTTACTTGTCCTCGTACTGCCCTACTTGGGCCCTCCCTCGCCTCCCTGACTTGGTGTAGGTACCTAGATATCTACATAGATACTACAAGGAAGAACTAGGTAAACAAACCAGCCTATTCGCTCGCAGGATGATGTCATTGCCACGTGTTTTTTCTCTCTTCTCATTCTTCGCCTTTTTTCGTCTTTCTCTAGCTCCCAAGGCTCCCTACAAGCAGGCAAGGTACTGTAGGCAGCATTTTACCTTTTGGCTATTACCTACTCGCCGGTCGCCGGTCGCCGGTCGCCTGTCGCCTGTCGCCCTACTTGCCCACTCGCCCACTCTCCATATTTGCACTCGGACCTTTTCACCCACCAAGCTGCCAAGCAGCCAAGCAGCCTCTCGCCTACACTCCTCCTGGGAGTAAATAACCTTCCTGGTCCAGAGCTAGTACAAGTAACGGAAAGAGATAGAAAAAGATACACGATCGGGAAACACAAAAGATGAATGGTGGATGAAGGTCGGCAGAGCCTTGGCTGTCATCTCTGTATCTCCCCAAGTACCACTAGGTACACGTTACTGTCAAGCTGCGAGTACGAGGGTTTGGCACAAAACTCTTTCTCTCTCACACAGACGCACAGTTCATAAGTGGTCGGGGCTGATTATTCGCAGCAGGATGTAAGTAGCATGGGTATCCAGTACTGTACTTGTACCGACCTCGGCAGGTAGGTCGGTAGGTAGAGAGATAGATAGGCAGATACTCGGTCCCCGCTCGTCGTGATCAACCCGGACCTCGCTCCGGGATGTCCCAGATAATAGGTCTTACTTACCGCTCTCTCACTTGCTCACCTCATTCCTTTGGCTAGAAAACGTATGAGGTATGTATGTAAGCCTCCGTAGTTCCTAACAAATAGGCCCCCAGGTCGGAAGAAATATCCCGCAGGCGGATGAGGGTGATGCGGTGCGGTCTGATGGTAGCTAGGTACGTCGTGCCCATGTCCACCACCTTACAATACTGTATATCCGGCGGACATGTCAACGTGAGGGATGGTGGTTCGATCCGTCACGCTTGGTACTCGGTATGCTCGAGCCAAGACATTTTACCTCCCCCACTACCAAGCAGCTCTTGAGCTGGCGCTCGTATTGCCTTCTTGGAAATTAACCGAGAATGGAAAATGGTGACTGGCACGTGGGATGGGTCCAAATGAGGGGGCCAGTGGGCACACCAGTGGTGCGGGATGCGGATGCGTTGCGTGTGAGCTGGTGCATGTTCAAAAAGGGAGCAACAAGCGAGTACGTCTTGGTCCATGCATGGCAGGAGAGATGCCGATCAATTGCTGCTTTTCTCCCTACAGGCGAAACCGCAAATACCACCTTGGGCAGCGCTATCGAGATAGTGATACAACCCCATTGACGAATAAAAGGGCTTCGGAGTATCAAAGGACATAGTACGGAGTAGATGCTTCAAGCTAACCCCACCCGGATGCCCAGTCTCTGGGCGTATTACCCTGGCTTCTCGTAATTCGGCGGGCAGGGCGAATCACAAACGACATCGAGGCGGGACCTCTGGTTGAAAAGGGAGAGTGGGCATGAGTGGGCGTGCGCGGGTGTGGTGGGATAGTGCGGATGCATGCTGACATGATCCCCCCAATGTCTTGGGTGCTTGGGAAAGTCTTGAGGCTGCGACAAGGGGTCAAGTATACCTGCCGCCTGGTGAGTGGAGGGTTTTGGGCAAGGAGGTGTAGCAGTATGATAACTTACTCGGTCAACTCGGTGACTTGGTGACTTGGTAGGCATGCACCCTTACCAGACCAAGGCCGAGTCGATGTGCTCGAAACGTCGTCGCACAGTCAAGCCCACGTGTGTGATGAGCATCCCTCCTTTGAGTTCCTCGCTTGGAGAACGCCGGGGGCGCTCATCCCCATCGGGTTATTCTTCGGTGCTCACTTTTGGATAAAACTGAATGTTTTGAGGCCCCGGGTAGACAGAATCCCAGCCCGTGTCCAGGGGTATGAAAGTGAGAAGACGAGAGCCCAGAGACGATACTGGCAAGGTGCATCAGTATTAGACTTCGTGATATACGAATACTTGTGCCCTGGTTCTGGGAGCTCTTCGCGAAGGGCGGTCAAAGTAGGTGCACATCCCCGGTTGCCCTAGGCGTAGCCTGCCGGGTACCTCATACAAAGCCTAGGGATATAGTGATCATCCCTCGGGACCGCCCCTTGTTGATAGACATGGGCCGTCGCTCGCCCAAACAGGACAACGAGCAAAGGCCGAATCTCCAGAACCGAGCAGCCGTGGGAGTCCGTCATCGAGTAAAAGCATTTGTTTGCTGAAGCCGGAGTGAATTTCCAAATTCTGGGATGAATGATTCCTTCTGCCCGTATGGCCGGCCAGGAATTATAGAGCTCAAAATAGTTTTGACAAGGCAGCAAAGGGTAATAGAGACGACCAACCCCTGGCCCCAGCGTCCTGGTAGGGCAGCAGCTGAGCAGCAGCTGAGCACCGAAATGTTCCCCGCGTTCGCCGTCCTAAACCCCTCGATCATTCCGGGCCAGGGAAATCCTGTCGCGGAACCGACCACGGTTTACTTCGGGGATCGGACGCCTCGACGCCTCTCTTGCGTCAACCAACTACGAGGGCTGGGGACCTCGCCTGTCGAACAAGGGAAAAAAAAGAAAGAGAACTAGCTTTCCCAAACTCTTTTTGCGAATGCCGTCTTCAGGCAATGGTCTTTTTAAGTTTGCGTACCAGAAAGGCAGTGCTCGGGAACGGCATCCAGGGTGTAGTAGTTGGTCTCTCTGCGAAATTGCGAGAAAGATGTCGGTGTACTTTGATGGAGGTATCACCTTGTAGTACAAAGATTATTTGATGAATGTTTCAAACCGGCACGGCGTTGCCGGCCTGCCACCCTGTTGATCCGTGCGTCCTTTGAACCGCTGGTATTCCACATTCGCAAGGCTCCTGCGAAAGCCCGCCGTCGATAACCCATGTAGAAGGCATGCAAAAGGGCTTTACTCTCCCAGTTCTCCTTCCATAGGGACCCCCTTTTTTTCCTCCCTCCCTAGGGAACCCCTAGCGTACCACATGTTCCATCAAAGTGTAGTCGTGCAGAATACCAAAAGTTATTCCGTCCATGCTCGCGCGGTGCGCGCCTTCGCTCGCTCAAGTGCAATCGACAAAACCCAAACACAAAAAAGAAAATCCAGCCCGTGTAGGTAGGTAGATATTCAAGACCTCTGTAGAACGCCAGTTGAAAGTTGCATCCCCTTTCCATTGCCCATTGGTGATAACGACTATGCTACAAGGAATCCTCAAACGAGTGTAAGGCAAACTCCGAGTTGAGGTCCACAGCATTCTTGTCAAAATAGCATTCTGGTCCGTTGTAAAGCATATTGTCGTGGGTGGAGAAGGCATCGAACTTGTCGAACTTGTCTGGCATCAGCATCTCGCTGAAGGACTGGTCTTGACATGATCGCAGGGCGTTGAGCTCTGCTGTCAGTTCGGCGATTCTGCCATTGAGCTTCGAGACCTCGTCGGCTTGTCTGGTATATGACTGTAGCAGGTCTTGGTGCTTCTCATGAAGATCTTCCAATTGGCGCTCAAGGCCCTTGACATGTTTTTCTTTCCTCTCGCGGAAGGCCCGTTGAGATGCGCGATTTTGAGCACGTCGTCGCTGTCATTGAAGTCAGTGAACCTTGCCAACAGAGTATGGTGGGTAGTGAGAAACGAACCAGGTGCATGTTTGGAATGGTTTCCTTGTCCTTGGCTGTGGGGGCTGAAGTGCTGCCAGATCGTCGCCGTCTTCGGTCGGTCTGATCAATGGCTGCGGCGTTGTTGTATTCAACGGGGATCTTGTTCGTCTGATTCGCGGGATAAAACGATGCCGGCGTTGTTCCATATGGGAAGAGGTCATACTGCATGGGGGCGTTGTTGAACATGATTTGACTCATCTGCTTCGGCGAGGATTAGCGGTCGAAGGGTTCCATACGGTGGGGGTGGACTTACACGAGGCGAGTTGGGACTTGACCCTTCAGAGGTGCTGTCGAAGTATTGTCCGGCGGTGAAAAGTGATTGACTTGGTGATTGACTCGGGGAGCTCACAAAGCCAAAGTCCATGTTGATATTTCGATCCCAGATCGACGTCATTCGAGGGACCAGGTGGTCTGAGGACGAGGTCTTTATCTTTTCTGGGACTCTTAGAGACCCGGATCTTGAACTTGAGTAAGCGTCGAGTATGTAAGATTGAACAACCCCCAAAAAATATTCTTGGACTGTGTTTGGTATTTCATCAATGTCAGATGCGGTGGAAAATCGATGGACTGGTTCAAGGGGATTGAAGATATAATTCGCCTTTGGGAGGGGATCTGGCTAGGGCTATCCAGGGCCCAGCGGCGCTAGAGGGGCATACGAGGATTAATTGTTCTGCCATGGTCTTAATCCGCATGAGAGAAAGCACCCCGGTATCGTTAGCCCCGAGAATCACGAACTGATCGCTTGCAGGG